CCAGTTCATTTTATTTTACTGTATTTTGCAAATGCACAGCTATGCAACAGGTTTTCTTAAAACTTCTTCACCAAAGATAGCATGGCTTTCCACCACTCTCCTTTAAAAAAAGTCAGACAAAACACAGCTCTACTTTAGCTTGTTCTCACCTAAATAGTAGGGGGTTATTCTAGATCATCCATGAGATTCTACAATTCTCTGTGGATACGGTTATATCTTTTTCTTACAGGTGACAAACTTTTATGTTCACAGCAGACTTTCTGCTGTCTTGTCCTTGCCCTGCACCATCTCTCCCACTATGAGACTGTGGATTTAAAGAATAAAGAGCGTTTTAATAAGAGCCCAATCAAAATGTAATTAAGAAAGGTAATTTGGCACCGTTAAAAATATTACAAAATATACACCAAGATAAAGTCTAGATAGTTCTTACCATACGCTACTTTGGATGATCAGTCCTCTCTGCCACTGAGATTTAAATGTTCACATTAATATTTTAAAGTGTGCACTTCTTTCTGAACCTCTTTGTATTTGCCTTATCATAACACATATCACACTGGATTAGAATCGTTTGTGTAACATTCAGCTTCCTTGCTAGATTTTTAGCTTCACAAGAATGGAGATCACGTCTGTCTTACTCACCACTAGGTTCTAGTGCTCAGACTCTGACATATTAATAAATATGTACTGGAATAAATGAGTGGAAGAATGAATGAATTTCTTAGAGGAAGAACCATGCATTAGACTTTCATTTCTTTACAGCCTCTTGAATATTTCTTGTCCATTACTTTCCTTTTGTTCTATAATCTCTGAGCATAAATTTTATAGTTTAAATAGAATCTAAGATTTCATGTGTGTTCAGAGAGCCATGCTTAAAATGTCTTAATTCCCTCCACTCAGCATTTTTTAATGCCAAATATCTAACATAATTGTTATCTGCAAGTCTACTTCCAATGGCTGTCAACCTCTCATTTTCTGCTCCTGATCAGCATAGTAAATTTTGTTTTTACATTTTTTATTGATGATCACATCACATCTCTGTTGCTTGGACTGCATAAGAAATTTTTTTTTAATTATTTAGCCAGCAGGAGCTTAAAAAGCAAAGTTTTTTAAGTTAAGAAATTACTTTTCTTCTCCAGAGAAGATGCAGACAAAACACATTTAAAGAGAGATCTAGTTCGGGGCACCTGGGTGGCTCAGTCGTTAAGCATATGCCTTCGGCTCAGGTCATGATCCCAGGGTCCTGGGATCAAGCCCGGCATCAGGCTCCCTGCTCAGAGGGAAGCCTGCTTCTCTCTCTCCCATTCCCCCTCCTTGTGTTACTGCTCTCTCTCTCTCTCTCTCTCTCTCTCTGTCAAATAAATAAATAAATCTTAAAGAGAGATCTAGTTAAATAAACTTTTGTCTCTGGGAATTGGATCCCCCGAGTTGGTTCTCAAGGTCTGCCTGCTTCACACCAAATGTCTGACCAGGTTTTCCTTTTTGTGATCTACACTGCTTGGACTAAGGAAGGAATGACATCACAACATGCGTTTCTCCCAGTGCTTCCTAAATGCACTGACCTCTTGAAAGTTTCAGAATGGCTTCTTTGTGGGCTGGGAGGGACCATCTGGCTAGCTGTAGATAAACAAGTTTCAACATATGGGCCATAACACATACACGGCTCTGCTCTACTAGTGCAGAAAATTAAGAAAAGGTTGCTCTCTTGATACGAGAAGCTCATGCAAAAGCAGGAGCACCCTGTCATGGAGGGCCTACCCTACACTGCACACAGGAGAGCTTAATTCCAGCCCCTTCTATCTCACCCACTGAACATGTCACTTGATCACAGCAAGTCTCCTCGATTGTCTCATCTGAAAATTAACAAGGATGCCAAGTAAACTCTGGCCTTCCTCTTTCCCTCTCCCTCCTTCCTTCTCTCCCTCTTTTTTTTTCTTCGTTCCTTCTCATTAAGAAATATTTTTTACATGCCTCCTATATATGTTGCAAGCACAGTGCAAAGTGCTGGGCATACTGATGAGGGAAACAGACCCAGACCCTGCCCTTGAAGAAGTACTAAACTATGATGGACACATGCATTAAATAAATCATTGAAAACATGAAGAATATTCCAGACAGAGGGTGGAAAGCATGTGTGAAGGTCCGGAGATGGGAAGCATAGACTGTTGACAAAATGCAGGATTTTGTAAATATTTCTATCCCTTAAATAGAGGACTCAGTTGAAAGTAAAATGCTGCAAGGAAAATGCCTGCCACCTCCAAACGGCAATTCAAGCAATCATTATATTTGCATAAACTATCTGGATAATTGTCTGCATCTTCTATTCATATCATTGATATTATGCCTACAATCAATGAATCTAATAAAACTGCATGAAAATATGATCATTGAAAACATATACAAGCAACTGAGGCACATGACAGTGTGGCAAAGGCTTTAAGAATGATGAAACGGTTCCCAGAAAACCCAGGAACTCTGAGTGCCCCTGCTTAATAGTAACATAATAAAACCAAACACTAGGGTAATTGTCATTAAGTGACAGCTTGCAAGTACTCTTTCCTAAGCACCATTTCCCAATACCCAGCCTTGCAGGCTGACAGCTGACACCCCTGAGTGAGAAGAGAGATGAGTCATCGCAGCCATTGCCGAACCCTCGTAAAATATGTGTGAAGTGTTTCTTTCAGTGATTTCCCCAATTCTGAGTTAAAACAAAAGCTGTACCTTTGGCACAGATTATGTCATGCGTGAAGTAGGATAAATCGTTTGAGATTTCACTCATTCCCTCTCAGTTTGTACTCTCTCCTTTCATTGGGCAGCTCTGCTGGTAACGCACAGCGCACACCATCCCGCCCCTGTAACCAGAAGAAGGCAGAGAGTTCGGTAACCAGGCATTCGAGTCAGGCATGATAAAGAGCCAATGTGAATAACTAAGGTCATGATAAAAAAATTAAACAAACCCATTTAAAAACTTGAAGCAATTCAATTAACCACAACGCCTTGCCTTCTACTACGGGAAAGACACAGGACATTCCCTACACACTGCCACAGCCTTCACTGTATGATATGGCGAGCATTTCTGAGAAATGTCTGCCTTCTCTCTGATGGCATACTTCTTCAAAGTAAGGACTTGCTTTACCCATTTTTGTTCCCTCGATGTCCACAGTGCTGAATGTGGCAGAAGCCCAATAAATGCCCACTAATCAATCAAGTCAATGAATGAACAATCATTCTTAAAAAAAAAAAAAAAAAAAGTTGAGCTGGATAAATCCTCACAGTGAAATGCAGTGAATTATAGATGGTCTTAACTACCTGTTAGGATTTTAGCAAAACATACAAAACATGGCCTTCTGCTATTCTACATAGAGCAATATGCATGACAGCAGACCTTCAATTAAAAATCATTACTTAGGTTGCTTTATTACAGCTACAAATAAACTTTATTTGATGTAATGTAATAAAACATTTTTCAAATGTAACAACATTTATCTGACCAGAATTAATCATTTAAATTATGAATATAAGTATATACAGTCACTTCAGCAAATCCATGGTTCAGGAATTTGTACAAGCTTTGTCTCAGAGGGCAGCACCCACCTCCCCTCCAGACCCTTCCCGTGTCTGGTGAGATGCAAGGTCAGTGAAAGCAGAAGAAATCCATAATCCACGTTGGAATTCCACATTCTCCTGGAAGAGAACAGCTACATTTCTTATAGGAAAATAATTTTCTCTGTCAGTTCTCTTTTATCAAACAAAGCTTTGCGTTCACTTTCTCCTCTTGGAGGTACTCTTCCAATCCACCATCTTCCTGTCTCATTACATATTCCTTGTACCTTAAAAACAAAAAATACTATCTGCAAAGGGGCCTCTTCTGGTTCCTTACCTGCCCTATCGTCTACTACTTTGGGGAAGGAGAGGGAAGAAGAACGGAATTGGTCAGGCACACATTTGATTTAGGTTACAGAGAACAAGAAAACAAATCCTCCTGAAGGAAGAGAATAGTGTTCTGAGTGTTTCCCAGTAGCAGCCCAGGTGACCCCCGAGTCACACAATTCCCTTCAATACAACACTGCCCAAGAATTAACATGTTGATGCTCTGTCTCTGAAAGCATCACAACCTTCCATGGAAACCCCCTTATTTCCACACTTCCTCCCCAAAGACACACGGTTATCACCCAGCCCAGGAGCCCACTGCATCTGTGTGAACATGATCATCATGCCAAAAGTTCTGTGCCCACAACCATGCTGGTATACAGCCCAGTTCGGTGGCGCTTGCTCTTCATCCAGGTACAAAGCCCCACCGAAGGAACACCCCTCATCTCTCAGGACCCTTCAGAAGAAGTGTGAGTGCAAGAAAAAGCTTTATTCAGGTTTTATGTTTCTCTCCATCCTGAGATCTGTTCCTGAGTTATACCATAACAATACATGAGTTCACAAAGATAAGTACATTGGTGGGGAAGTCACAGGGACCCTGCAAAGAAGCGAAACTATTTGACAGAAGCTTTAACCAGACATTGCTCTGGGACATCATTTGTATTAGCTGATGACGGGATTCTGTTTTCTAACACGGACATGCAACATATTCAACACTACGCTTAACCACAGTTTGCTTGGAAAAACACCCTTCTGTCCTGCCACAAAATACATTCCGTCTTGTGAATGATTCCTGAATATTCACCACAACGCCTAGACTTGGAAGCATGGGAAGTGTGCACTGGAACTTTCTTCCATTTGTAGGGGCTTGGACGTACACAAAGCACCAGAAACGGTTTCCTTTCTGGGACTCAGTTCTGTCTGTGTGTGCACTGCTGAGCTGATCTGGCTGTCTTAAATGGAAAACTATTTTCCCTGGCACACAACAGCACTGATCCACAGAAAAAGATGAGAGGTCACCATCTCCCTCACAATATGATTTGTACAACAGATAACCCTGCTTGTCACGTCTCAGCCACCCCAGGAAAGGACAAGCCACGCTCCATTCTGTGGCCTCAGCAAATGGTTGAGTTCTGTTGCCACCTCTGTCTTGCCTTGTTGATTTCGTTTCCATTATTCCACTTTTGATCATGAATCATGACTTTTTTTTCTACAGTAGTCAGAGTTCTGTCTATAAAGAGAGAGAGAGAAAGAAAGGGAGAGAGAGAGAAGACAAGAAAATGATTTGGCAGAACCGTAAATGTGAGTTTTCATTTCGTGGTGGGTGGATTTAATTTTTACAGAATTCAGTCACTTGAATCATTTGTGGCTTCTAAGGGGTTATATGAGCTCTCTAAAAGGAAAGAAAGAGTGCTATGGCTCTTTTCATAAATTTTATCATGTCTCTAAGTTGCCTGGGCCTCAATATATTTGCAAATCAGCCCCAGATGACCCATTTAGAAATTCACTTTTATAATACAGCTGTAGCCAAAAATGGCTCCACTCTCAAAAATCCTTGCAAAATACTGCTGCACTTGCCCCACACGAAAAGAATACCGATGACTACTCATGAGAAGTGTTCTTCCCTTCAAGCCTAGGAGGGTGCATCATAGAAAGACATGTGTACAAAGACCAGAAAACCCCGTCTCTCCCCCTTCCTTCCCTCCCACACTCAGAAGCGGCATGAGTCATGGAGAACTCTTGGCCAACAGTTGAGGGAAAGTCTCTTTCTCCTTGGTGTAGAGCCACATTCCCGCCAGATCCAGCCCCCTAACTCTGCACCTTCACAGGACTCCACTTACCAATCACTGTCCACGAGCTTGAGATCTAGGTCTGTTGAGGTTCCAGGGCCTGGCATTGCACCCCCAGGCTCCGCTTCCCCCTCCCAACAACAGCCCTACTCTCACTTGGCTCTCAAGACCGGGTAGAGGGGTTTTCCTGGTGCCGGGATCAGTTTCTCCATAAGACACCATCTCTTGCTTTGTCTGTCACCTCACAGGATGGTGCCTAAAGCGAAGCACCACACTGCGGCTCAAACCCACAGCTCCAGGCTCCTGGGTTTGTGGGAGTGGGCACCGGAAACAGCTGTGTCTCTAATGATGCTCCCCACCTATTGTTAGCCTGGGGTCTCCAACTGTCTCAGCACAGAGGAGACACTGCTCTTCTCTGCAGCTCAGCACTGCTCTGTTCACATTGGTTCATGGAATGGACTGAACCCCTCCCCGGCCCCCATGCCTTCACCACCCACCTGCGAGTACACTACCAAACGTTCAGACATCGTCGGCTCTTTCCTGCCCTCAATGCCACCCTCCTCATGTGGGCCCTCATGGCAGGAGACGTCATCTTCATATTGGTCTCTTAACCCATCTCCTTTCCCCATTGTGAACCCGTCTACACCACTGCCCTGGTCTCACTCCTACTCAAAACGCTTCATCTCTCCCTCAACCCCCAACCACACTGCCCACCTGGCCCTCCACACTGACTCTACTCAACCCGGCTTCCAGGCACTGCTGAAGACCTGCCCCAGGCTCCTTATCTGCCTCCAACCGCATCTGCGCCCCTCTGTCCATGCTGTCCCATCTGCTCTGAGGAGGCCCACCCCCACTTCCGCCCCTGCCATCCCTCCTTGTTAAATTCAAGGCCCACTCCAAATATCACCTTCTTCCTGATTTCCACCATGGATAGTTTTTTTCCTAAGACACTCCCCCAAGCCTTATTTTTCTCATATACCTATCTGTACTGCTGCATTTTTATTTTAAAAGATTTTATTTATTTATTTGAGATAGAGAGAGTGCATGAGCACCAGCAGGGGGAGGGGCAGAGGGAGAGGGAGAGAGAGAGAATCTCCAGCAGACTCAAACCTGAGCAGGGAGCCGGACACAGGTCTCCATCCCAGGACCCTGAGATCATGACCTGAGCCGAAGGCAGACGCTTAATTGAGCCACCCAGGCGCCCCTGTTAATGCTTGATTTTATTTGGTGTTATGTGTATCTGCTCAGAAAACAAACAAAAAAGCATGTTCAAAAAAGCAAGAGAGGTCAATTGCCTATTTTAAAGAGATATTACAAAGTTAGAATGCAGGCAATGGCAAAGCAAACAAGCTGTGATTATTACTAATTGATGATTTAATAAAAACAAAGAGTTGAATTACATCTAGTTAATGATGAGGAAAATATTATTGGGGAGGGGGGCGGGGAGTGGAATCCATGAAATATCAAACATGTTACTTGTTTCTGCCTTTACGGCAACATCCCAGCACAGAGACCCAGAGCTTCAGGGCCTTGGTGCTTCCTCCCAGTTTCCACTAGGACCCATTTCCTTTTAATTTTTTTTTTTTTTTTTTTTTTTTTTAACCACTGGTTTCCATAAAGAAAAGGTAGAATCACCCTGAGCTCCAAAGCTTCAGCCCAAAGCCTGGAGCAGCAGATTGACAGAACTCATAAAAGGAACCCAAGGTCACTCTGCTACCACTCACCACTGCAATCAGCCGGGATTATGAGAGGCTTTGTGAAGAGAAAGGCAATATGATCACCAAGGAGAAGAAGGGAGAGGCGAAGGGAGAGCTACTTCAAAACAATTTCATGAAATTCTTTTATATGGAAGTATTTTAAAAACGGCTTCTCTTTTTTTCTTTTTTACAAGATTTTATTTATTTATTTATTTGAGAGAGAGAGAGAGAACGAGCGGGGAGAGGGGCAGTGGGAGAGGGAGAAGCAGGCTTCCCCCTGAGCAGGGAGCCCAACACGGGGTTCAATCCCAGGACCCCAGGATCATGACCTGAACCGAAGGCAGATGCCTAACTGACTGAGTCACCCAGGCACCCCCAAAACTGCTTTTCTATATTGCTCACGATAACAGTGTCAAAGAACAAAAATCACAATGTGACACTTAAAAACAATTCATGGCAATCAAAAGCAACTCGATAAATGAGGTTGTCAAATTAAAAAGAAAAGCACAAGAACCCCTGTTTGTATCACGTTATCACACTTGGTTTTGTATTACCAGATGTGGATACTTGTGAAAAGGTGAAAGAGGTTATAAATTAGAGCTGAATTAAAATTACCAGGGAAGCATACATAGCCTTTTCTCTCTATCTACTGCCTACCCAAGTGCCTGTTGGACTCCTGAGTCTCTCACTATGCTGATCAAGAAAATGGGAAGAAATGGGTGGATATTTGGAAGTAGCAATACACGGTCTAGTAGAGCATTTACATGGAAAAGAAAGAAAACTATCATGTAGGAGGGAAAAATAGAGCCAAGAAGGCAGAGTTAGGGGCGTAAGTGAACGAGATTAGAACCCAAGCAGCCAGAGAGGGAGGAAAGGACTGGAGAGACTGGAGGGAGGAACCTCGAGTCTGTAGGCTGGCCAAGAAGTGTAGGCGCTAGAGAGACAGGTTCGGGGGGTTACAAAGGATGCTGAGAAGGTTTGCTGTGAGCTATGGATTAGACACCAGTCATTCTTCCAGAGCCTCCAGTAGAGTTAGGAGTTGTTTGGGTCATCCAGCTGGTATGTACTGGAATGCAAGTACAGGATATTCTGATTACTAGTCTTTCACTAACCACGACCGCCACATCTTTCCCCACCCCAGCCCACTGGGACTGTGAGCTTCCAGAAGCAAGGACTGTCACCTATTCATCTTTCTACCCCTCAACATGCCTGGTGTCATGCCTTGTACATAGTAGGCCTCAAATGTTTCTGCAGAAAACCAGCCACTGAAGAGACTTTACCTCCAGCATCTGCCTTCTGATTCATCTCACCTGGTGCCCCTGGATCCGTCTCTGTCACTTTGATGATTCCCATTCTCCTACTTGCAGAGATCCAGTCAATGGCTCTCTTCTGTCCACATTATGGTTTTAGGGTTTTGCAACTTCAGCATTATAGAATTTGGGGCGGGGTAATTCTTTGTTGTGGGGGGGGCTGCCCCTGCATTATGGGATGTTGAGCAGTGTCCACTGGATGCCAGTAGGTCCTCCCCTCCCCCAGCTGCGACAACCAAACATGTCTCTAGACACTGTCAAATGTCCCCTGGGGGAAAAAACCAACTCTGGTTGAGAACCACTTGTCTACACTAAAATCCCAAATTCCTGGAGCTAGAATGGGGGAGCCTTTACAATTTGATCTCGTTCTACCTTTGCACTGTGATCTCCATATCTTGCCCCACACCAGAGCTTAGCGCCAGCCTGACTGTCCTTTGCAGAAGGCCCCATACTGGCGCCTTTACATGGATGCTGTTTCTATTCTCCTTTAGCTACGAATGCTTGACTACTTTCAGAGATGTACTAGAGCCCATAACCTCCAAGGTCGTCCCTGATCAGGCTTAGGGTAAGCTCTGAGTTGTTTTCCTCTGCTTTGAATCCTGTTTTTCCTTTTCCTTTTTCCACCTTCCCTTTGATCTCATTATGAAAAGGGTGACTGTGCATACGTGTGTGTCTACGTTCAGACTGTCCAACAGAAATACATGCGGGACAGGAAAGACATCATGTATTTTCTGCATCCTTCTCAATGCGTGGCACACTCACAAGCAAGAATTTCAAAAGGAGTCTCCCCACATTGAAAGTGACTAGGAAGCTGCCTGGTATTGAGTTTTTAAAACAGCAGTTATTCCAATTCTCTCATTGGAAACTTCCTGAAGTTAATGGAGATTTAGGCCAATCATTCCAAATGATTTCGTATGCTAATTATGAATAAAATCAATAATTATAAATGAAACAGTGTGAGATGTAATGAGAGGACAGTCATTTTCTTAGACCAGGGGTCAGCAAACCATGACCTGTGGGCCAAATTCAACTGGCAGCTTGTTTTTGTAAATAAAGTCTTACTGGTGTATGACCACGCTCATTTGCTTACTTGTGTCAATAACTGCTTTCTTACTGCAAAGGCAGAGATGAGTAGTTTCAAGAGACCTATGGCTAGCAAAGCCTACTTAGCAAAACACACTTACTGTCTGGCCCTTCAGAGTAAAAGTTTGCTGACTCCTATCTTAAACTAACAGGAAGACAATACCCTAAGCCTCCATACTAAAGACCCAGAGGCAAATATCCTTGGATGCTCTGTTGGTGAAGTTAGAGAATATGCTGAGTTCCTAGAGGTTTTCGGAGTCATCTGGTGGGTATCCTAGGTTTGGAGCCTCTGGAGTCTATTGTGATCCATGAGGACACTTCGGTGTCTGCCTGGAGCAGGGCTGTTCTTCTGGGACAATTGGGAGCAGGAAGGTGTCCTTTGACACCGTTGTTACCCATAAAGGAATCTAATATATAAAGAATTTACAGAAGGAAAATTCAGGTGAGGTGGGAGCTAGACCTAGGGGTGCACTAGCTCACTGGGGGCCACCTTAGTCCCCAGGTCTGTTACCTCTTCTGTCAAATGAAGGGCCTGGACAAGTTGGCTGACAGGCAGCCCACAGTTCTCTGGCTGCTCCCTCCCACCGGGTCCAGTGAAGAGGAGTGCCTCCCCGTCTCCCACCGGCACCTTCCATCTTCTCCTTCCAGTTTCTTTGCCCTCAAACAGCTTTCAAACAGGAAGATGTTGCCTCTGCCTCAGATTTAAAGCAAAATCGGGGTGCGACATGCTGACAACCCTAATTACTCTATCATCCCCTTCTTTACCATGCCAAACTCACTAGCAAGTGGGTTGCATGTGAAACCCCCATTCCTTATCACCACTGGCCCTCAGATCCCAGCACCTACTGCAATTGCTTCCGGGAAATGCAGAGGCCTCCCAGACAGACTCAGCAACTACAGGTTCTCTCCTCCAAAGGTGGGCAGTGCTTCCTCAAAGCTCTGCAGCTTTCAACACCTGCTTCATCCTGGCACGTCCCCATGCTAGCCACTCTCCTTTGTCTCAGGCTGCTTGCTTTTAGCCCGTGTGAATCTGCTCCCTTCCTCAAACGACTTTATCAGCAAAGGATGAGGGCATCAAAAAAGCTTCACTGGATATAACAGTTAATAGCAACGAAAATAACAATGTTACAAGAATGGGACAAGTTAGGGGACATGACTTGGATGCTGTTTACGGGAAAAGGATGGGAACCACCACCTTCCTTGTGCATCACACCAACTGCAATTCCTCGACACATCAGTCCTGTCTTCCAGGCCCTGTAGGTGCCTGACTTTGGCTTTGGGAACTCTGTTGGCTGGAGGACTGGAGTCTAGAGTATCCTGAATTCGAATCTGTTCTGCTTAGTAGAAAATAAGCTGGCTACGGATTTAGGAAGCCCTCTGGGATACGCTCCGAGAGGTTCCAGAGCAAGGGCGGGGTGGGGGGTGGGGGTAAAAGGAAAACAGTGATAAGTGACCTTACAGCACAAACTCGGGTCTCTCGGGCCTCTCGGCGAGCTTCAGGGCCTCATGCATGCCTGCAGCCGACAGCTTGCGGTTGATGTTCCGGTACTGGCACTGGAGCAGGCTGCGGTAGGTGGTCCTCAGGTCCCGGTTGAAGAAGGCATATATAAAAGGGTTAATGAGAGAGTTTGCATAGCCCAGCCACAGAAATGTCCTCTCCACCCACAGCGGGATGCAGCTGCAGGCCGTGCCGCAGATGAAGGGTCTGGCCGTGGAGAGGAGGAAAAAGGGCAGCCAGCACACGGTGAAGGCCCCGACTATGATCCCCAAGGTGGTGGCTGCTTTCTGCTCCCGCTTAAAGATGGAGATGTTTTTCCTTTCGTGTTTGAGGAATCTCGAAAGGTTGGCACACTCCTCCACCTCCTTCTGGAGCTTCACCATGCCGTTCAGGGAGATGATGCTGTCCGGCTCCTCGGGCCGGGGGAAGCCGGGGAACTTGTGCTTGGCGGCGCTCCTCCTGGCGGCCTTGTAGATCTGGTAGTACATAAACAGCATGACGGACATGGGGATATAAAACGCCACCGCCGTGGAGTAGATGGTGTAGCCGAAATCCTGGCTGATCAAGCACACCTTGTCGTCGTTCACGTTCTGAGCCCACCCGAAGAGCGGGGGTAAGGTGATGGAGGCCGAAAGCAGCCAGACGGAGAGAATCATTTTCGCCATGCACTTCCCGTTCTGCCTCACAGGGTACGTGAGCGGCCTTGTGATCCCAAGGTACCTAGGGGTCAAATGGAAAGCGGGCACGTGACTCTGTGATCACTCCTGAGCCCCAGCTTTCTACCCAGAAGCTCCATTCCTCAGGACAGCCCTTCTAGGGAGGCCTCATACTGCCCATTTTACAGAGAGGTAAACTAAGGCTCTGGGATGTTACCTACTTCCGTCCAGGTCATACACTTAACTAGAGGGACTGCCGGTGTTTGGCCTCGGAGCCCTCTGTCTGTAATGCCAGGCCATGCTCTTCTTGAACCTCGCAGCCTCTCCGATTCCATGCAGTGAACCAAAGGTTAAACATCCGCCCTCCCCCCCGCCCCACGACCACTGCCACGGAAATCAGCCAGGAACAAAATGTCAAGCCTGACGTGGGATGTGGTGACACATCCTCACAAATTAACCAAGGTCTACCACACTCTGATATTATACACCCACTGATCTCCCGGGCTGTCTTAATTCAGACAGGCTTTCAGTTCATTTTAACTTCCCCTTTGCACGGTAGCAAGAGCATTTCTTTAAGATCACAGACATTTGCGAAATATTAAGGAAATCCTAGGGCTTTGGAATGGAAAGTAGCAAGTAATCTTTTTTTGTTGTTGTTATGCCCAGAAAATTCTCACACAAGAGTAATGTCGGAAGAATCTATAAAATAAAAACAGCCTACCTCGTCTCTCCTCTCCTGAGAAGGATCACAAAAAAGGGGCACAATTCTGAAAAATAGGAGGTAAAGCCAATGTTTCTTCTGTGCTTAGTTCTACATAGAGAATAAATATTTCTCCGTCTCTGTCATCAAGGATTTCCAATGCAGAAGAGACTCAGCAAACAGAAAACATGCACAGCAAGATGTTTTTGCTAAATGTTTAATGGTTTTCAGCTTTCCAAATCTGTTTTTTTCTCTGTGTATTTAATGGTCTTAGCTTCTATTTTGGGGAGAATGCAAAGAGCCCGTAAGAAGCCAAGACAGGTAAAAGCTGGTCATTTTGTTGCTTTTTTTATTTCATGGATGTATATAAAAGATACAGTCTTAACACAGGAAAAGGAAAGGTAGAGAGCCCCCAAATTACCAACAGGTTATTTTCTGGAAGTGTCTCAGCTGGTGGGTTGGAACTTTAAAAATAATTATTTGGTGCTAGAAATAGCCTCATGTGTTTTGCTTAAATTATCCCACAAAAGTCAAAAAATCATACTTTCACCATGAAAATTAGCATCACTGCAGCACTTACAACAAGGCAAAATTGAAATATTAGCAAAAAGGAATCAGCCACATTTGCTTATTCACTGAGAATATTTATTCATTCCTTCAACAAATATTAATTGAGCTCCTTCTGTATGCCAGGTGCTGTTTTAAAAGTTGGGGATGTGGCAATGAATAAAAGAGACACAAATCTTGAGGCCAGGTGCTTGGGGTAATCATGTTGGGTTGAACGGGAGGACTGCGGCTTGCGGTAACGTGGAAGGGGCTGCCGCATCTTTCCAAGGATTCAGGTGTCGGTGGCACGGGTTCATTTCACAACCTCTAGATCCCTTTCCTCGATCAAGCGGACCCAAAAGCACTATCCCTAGGTTTATCAGGTATAACCAGGATGAAGGTTTGGCTCCCAAACAGAAGGAAAGATGAGAAAGAGGGAGGTTCTCCTGAGAACACAAGAATTAGAGCTGAGGAGGAAGGGGAAAGAGCAAAGGAGGGAGGAAAGAGGGAGCAAAGAAGGGAAATGCAGAGTAGACTTTGCTGTTTGGGAATTATCTAAAATTATCTGAGTTTTATGTTGTGGGAAAATTTTTAAGAAAATTAAAACACACACACGCACAAACCGGTAAATGAGGAAACCCCTAAAGCAAGGTGTTGGAACTGACTGGAAGCATACGGTTAAGTTGATCCCTGCCCTGAGATATTCCTTTTTTTTTTTTTTGCTTTGGTTCAGGCTTTTCCTGCTGGAACTGCTTTGCAGACCTCTCTTTTCAGATCTCGTATTTGCTCTCTATCAACTCCTGTGGATGGACATAGCCTTTTGGCTCCTTCTTTGTTTCCCAGCTCCCCCCAGCAAGCCTTTGCCAGGACTTGGATTTTGATTATCTTCTCTCTGCCGGTAGCCACAGGCACAAGCTGTTTGTTCCCAAGCCTGGATCTAGCTTCCTGGATATCGACCAAGGCAGGAGGTCTAACAGAAAGACCAGTTCCTACAGTTCCCCAGGTGGCCACCAGATGGCATTGTCAGACCATCTTACACCTACTTACGGGGGGGGGGTTCGGGATGTGGGTCCTTAGGGCAATTGGTGTTTACTGAAAGGAGGAAGGAGGATCACTGTGGATGAGAAAAGTTATATTTTAATTGTGGGGTTATACAAAAAAAATTAGCAAGCCTGGAATTCACAACCTCGTAAACTATTCTTGAGGAAATCCGTTCAGTTTTCCCTTCCATCCTTCACATACTCCTTACTCAAACAGGGAATTCCATCTTCAGGCTTAATTAAATCCAGCCTCTCTTCTGCTCCCATAAATAATAAGGAATTCACAAAGATTAACCCTGAGAGATTAATTGAGTACCCAAGGACATCTCACAATATTAAATAATCTCATGAGCGCAGCATGCTTTTTCATATTCTAATATACTTAGCCTGACTTATATTGCATTTCAGTGATGTGGGTCGGCCCATATTTGATCCTTCCTGAATGTATAAATTATATTCCATAAACTCCTATTTTAGACTCCATCATCTAGTTGCATCAAGTCACGTCCTACAGTAAGGCAGTTAGAGTTACTTTTTTAGTTTCCTGGGTACCACCTGGTGAGACCTTTGAAGGTTCAAATCAACCGAAAGATGATTTTTAAAAATGCATGAGTGTTCATTAAAGTGTCTGGAAATAAAATAAATAAACAAAAGTCAACAGGTTTTTAAAAATCAATTAACAATTAGAAATATTATGAAAGGAAGTAACTCTATTCACAGCAACAATCAAGGAATTAAAATATCTAGATAAATGTTTTAAACGTCAGGGCCTACATGAAGAACATGTTTTAAATGCCAGGGCCTACTGAAAGAACTAAAAGAATGCTTGAATCCATAGGGAATTTTTAAAAAATACAACCCAGTGTTATAAAAGTGCCAATTTCCCCTCAATTAATCTAAAAATAATACACAACTCTACTGGAAAATTCCAGCAGGACTTTTCTTCATTTGACCAAATGATTTTTAGTTCATCAATATGGAAAAAGCAGAAAATCTGAAAAAGAAGAAAACTGAAGAGATACTTATTCTATTTAAAAAAAATAGTATAAAGCCACAGAAACAAAAACTCAGTAATAATGACTCAGAAATAGGTCAATTGAATAGAACACAGCCTAGAAACAGATTCAAATATATAAGGGAATAATATAAGAAAATGAGTCACTTTAAATCAGTAGTAAAATGGTATATGTATTCTTGAAGTCTGACAACTGGCTAGCAATTGGGGTAAGTAAAAATAAAACTGGCTTATGTTTCTCCTTATTCAAAAATAAATCCCAGATGGATCAAAGATTATCGTGTAAAAAAAGTTAAAATCTAAGGCTACTATAAGGAAATACGGGGAAGTATTTCTGCAATCCTGGAAGGACAATGCTCATTCTTAACTGTGATACAAAAGCTTAAAACTACAAAATAACATAGTGATTAAATTTTTGACAAAAATTTTATACACAAAAACAAGTAAGTGACATTTAGTTTAAATTAAAAATCACTGTGTGCAGAGTTAAAAGTCAAATGACAAACTCCAAGTCCAAATAACAAAATCTCAATATTCACAGATCTCTTACAGGTCAATGAGAAAAAGACAACCATCCCAATAAAAATACTGAAGCAATTAAACAAAGAAGAAATAAGAACATCCAATAAGCGCTTGGAAATATGTGCGATTTCACTAATAATCAGAGAGATGCAAATTTTTAAATGATTTTTGGGCATTTGTCAATTTTTAAGAAAGACAAAAGCCAATATTGAGAAAGTATGAAAAAACAAGCACTCTTTATTATTTTGCTAGTGGGTGTTGCAACTGGATCGAAGTTCTGGAGGGCAGTTTGGTAAGGAATATACACCAAAATTTACCTTTTGGCTCAGCAATCAGATTTCTAGGAATTTAAGAATATAACTGTACAAATGCAAAATGATTAATGTGCAAGGATATTAACTAAACACATAATAGAGGGAGAAAGCTGCAGTGTAAATATCAATAGGAGGTTAAAGTTGAGTACATATGCATGTATACATAGATACAGATATGGATGTAGATGTATAATGTAACCATTAAAAATTATGACATACGTATCTATTTACTGACATGAAAACACAAAAAAGTGGAGAGAAAACAATGTCTAGTCCTAAAAGACAAGTAACAGAGCGTCATATATTGTATTAATCTTTTTATGTAAAACTAGGTGTTTATGTGTGTGTGTGTGTGTGTGTGTATGTGTGTGTGTACTGAGATGTCTAGAAGAATACCTACCAAATATGAATGGCACTTTTATCTCAGTTGGAGAGATTTGAGTAGTTTTGGGGGTTTCTTTTAAAGATTTTATTTATTTATTTTGAGAGAGAGAGCACATGAGAGCGGGGAGGGTCAGAGGGAGAAGCAGACTCCCTGCTGATCAGGGAGCCTGATGTGGGACTCGATCCAGGGACTCCAGGATCATGACCTGAGTACTTGGATGGGAGATTTGAGTAGTTTTAAATTTTTTCTTTGGACTTGGGACTTTTCTATGCTTAATTTTTTTTGTTTTTTGTTTTTTTAAGATTTTATTTTATTCATTAGAGAGAGAGATAGCGAGAGAGCGAATGAATACAAGCAGGGGGAGTGGGAGAGGGAGAAGCAGGCTTCCTGCTGAGCGGGGAGCCCGACATGGGCTCGATCCCAGGACCCTGGGATCATGACCTGAGCCGAAGGCAGATGCTTAACAACTGAGCCACCCAGGCGCCCCTCTAACTTTTGTTAACTGTATGTAAAAAAGAAAAGAACATCATTTTAATTT